CAGCATTTATTAGTGTGTGCCAATGCAATTGCAATGATTGATAAAACAAAAACGAGCGACGTATTTTCAACAAAAGGAATAAGCGAGTGTTGGAAAGCGAGTGACGATGTTCGACGAAAGAAAACAAATGTGACGTAGAGCGACTGAAGTTTAAGGTCTAAACAACTTGAAATCAAAAGGCGATAGTAAATGGGGACGAAAATGATTATAAAGGCCTGGGCAAAAAAGACGCAACGGTAAAATGGAAACATGACATACGGGAAACATGGGACAACCCGTTGTTCAAACTGGTCAGGGAAGATTCGGGGAAGATAACGTGCTGGCTGCCGAGAAGAACGAAAGATAATGGATATTAACAACACTGACAAAACTGGGTAATTCAGGGCAAGCTATAAAACAAGAAGTAGTTCTAGGAAAGGCAAAGAAGGATGGAAGCGGAAAGCAGTATCATAAGAATGGGAGCTGTGTGGGTGTCTGGATAGCACATGGCTACTTGAGAGGTAAAATAAATTGACTGTGACGTTTATATTTTCCCTCGTTCTTGTTTCGGTAGTATGCTACCCCCGCGCCTCTTTCGAGCAGTACTTGGGCATGGATGCTAAAGATCGGGGATCGTCTAATAGATCTAACCTCCTTTTTATCTTGCCCTTTTCATTTTCTATTTTTCAAACGTGCTTTTTTTTTCTAAAAAAAATTTGTATAAAGAATAGCTAATTTGTTGTTTTCAAAACAACACAGTTAGTCGCTCGATGATCATAAGAAATTCAAATTTTGACAGACGTCCTCATGACGCAGAGCCACATGTCGTATAATTGCTGATAATCATGGCATTCTGTTATTCTGTTTCTTTTCTGTGGATAACCCCATGGCTGCCCCCCCTTTTGTGGTGTTGCCTTCATATCCGCAGGAACATGAACAGTCCGGCGTACCACACTAGCCAAGGTACTGTACGACAAGCCCGCGACCAAGAGATGGTAAAGGTTGCCGAATCGAGCATGAAGTCCTACTTGAGGTTTGCGTGATTCGAAAAGCAGAAGATGTCGCTGCATCAAGTGACTGCTCGAAGGCCGCCTCCCGTAAAAGTAAGAAGAAAAGCAAGCTTTCTCGAATGACAATAAGAAAAGCTTGGCAAGTAAACATGGCCATGGTCTGGACAGGGTGGGACGGTTAAAAATACATGGTCATAATGTCATGATCTCATCCGCTAACTGTTAAGTATCGTTTCTATCGTCTCACTCCGTCTTCGCCGCGTTCCTTTCGCTCCACCTCAAACGTGCTGATCTTACCAGGCAATTATTTCTGGCCGACGTCCCGATTGCCTAACCGGCAAATAAAGATGCTGCCCGCCCGCTACCCGCTGTGGTCCAATACTGAGCAAACCGCGACCTTCTTATGGCCTACAGCAGATGTACGTTCGCGGCTAAATGGGAGAAGCTTCCCGCTGCCTTGCTAGATCTTGAGGCAACTCCGACAGGGATCGACCTTCTACCCCGACCGTTTTCTGATGATTGATGTCTTAATGGTTGCAGCCATGGCAACCGAACACAGGGCCTGCTGGTTTGGCCTGAAGGTCCATAGTCTCGCAGAGCATCCTGACAAATGGCGGAGATCAGAGGCTGAGATAGCGTCTCGACCGGCAAGCCACGCCGCGACGCAGCAATGGTGATGCAATGTGACTCAATCAACACATCGAGCAAGGCTGTGGTCGACCTTGCTGTCATAAATGCATACTTTGTTGTTAGGTATCGTTCAAGCATAAGCATGTACAACGTGCAGCACGGCGCCCAGCGCCGTACTCGTGCTCTTATTCAAATCGTACACAGTTCCTGGTGACATTTCATAACGCGTGGTTGACAATCTCGGCGTACACGTCTGCCGGGAGCTTCCGGATGATGGTAAGAGTAACACGCTTGATCGAGTCGGCCTGCAGCGCCGGGAACGATCGGAGAAGTTTGTTGGGGCTGTATGGTTAGTGAACTGTCTGTATGATATCAACAGAGAGAGGCTGGGACGCACCTTGGACTCGTCAAGATCTGGTTGCGAATCATCATAAGCTGCGCAACGATGCACACGATGTTGAGGTGTGGCCCGTATGCAAACAAAAAGTCCCACAGCCGCAGTACTTCGGGCAGTGGCGGCGTGCAGGCACAGAGCGTCAGCACCGAGGGAAACGCATATATCTCGGCCGACAAGTTTTTCGACAACAGGTACAGGCTGAGCTTGGAGTCGACTATGGCGAGCACCTTGTCGACGAGGGCCAGACCCTTGTGCACGCCATCCATGGCCCCGCGGATGTAGCCGGGGCACTCTCTTGTCAGCAGGTGGTGGAAGGCGACAAACGCCTCGGCCTCGCTGCGCGCGGCATACAGGAACGGCGCTGCTAGCACGTTCATGCCCTGCACGTAGGTCCCCGGGTCGGCCGAGACGCTAGTCTCTGAGCCCTCGGTGGTGAGTGTGAGCGCGCGTGCGCGATTCTTGGCGGCGGGCGATGTGTTGGCTGATGGCGAGCTGTCGGCCGCGGCGTTGTTGAGCATACTGAGGACACCCTTGCCGCCAGACAAGTTGCTTTCGTGCGCCGGCTGCTGCTGCTGTAGATTGGGAAGTGACTGGCGGCTTGCTGGCGGTGGTGGCATAGGTGGATGTTTAAGAATCTTTTCTTCGCGCACATCTTGGAGCTTCCAGGCAATGGCGTTGAGCAGCCGGATGAGACTGGCCTCGCTGACACGGCGGCGGAACAGCGGGTCAGTCGTGAGTGTGCGGAAGGTGTCGTTGCGGATCTTGGAGTAGGCCGGTGATGCGCCACGGTGGACGAGGGAGAGGTAGGCGTCGGTCTCCAGCACCGGGCAGTCGAGAAGGATCAGCCAGACGTAGATGCGTGCGGAGGACTGTCTGGTTAGTTCTGGAACGGAGAAAAACAAACAAAACAAGTCAGAGACCTTGCCACATACCATGCCATCGCCGTCACTCTTGATGCCTGTCTCCAGAATCTTCCACCGCAGGTTGTTGAGCGCACCAACCACGTCACCGTCTGGTGGCCCGTCACGGACCAGACGGTCGATGGAAAGTGCGTCGAGTGCTGGTGACCGGCCGAGCAGTGGCCGTCGGCTCGCGTTGGCGCTGGCCGCCGCGTTGATCTGCTGGATGTTCGCCGCGTCGCTGTTGGCGCGTCCGCGCTGTGGTGACCGGTTGTTGTTGTTGCTGCTGAGGGTGGTGATGCCGTTGCCGGCTGAACCTGTCCCGAGCGTCGCCGTGTTGCTAATGTTGCTAATATTGCGACGGACGGGCGACGCTGAGCGCTGCTGTAGCGCCTGGATCGACTGCAACTGTTGCTGTGCCTGTTGCTGGTGGTGATTGTGCAGTTGCTGCTGCTGGAGCAAACGCTGCTGCGAGATCATCGACGGCAGGTTGTTGCTGTTGGCCTTGGCCCCGAGGTTATGCGCCGACTGGAGCTTTCTAAGCGTCCGAGGGCCGCTGGGCGAAGACGGTGGCGGGTACAGCGACGACGGCGGCAACAGTGTAGGCACCGCCGAAGTGCCATCTTTGGCCGGGCTCGGCATTGTAGCGGGCAAGTGGACGACGAGGATGACGTTGAAAACCCGTTGATGAAGCTGAGTAAACAGACACTTTTGGCGAGGCTGAAGAAGGACAAACACAAGAAAAGGAGTCGCTACCAACACAATGATGCAGAATAGAAACGACGTTTTGTCTTCAGCAGCATGGCACGTGGATTTGTTGCTTGTGTGTGCAGGGTGTGTCGTAGAAACAGAATGTCAGCATTCTGTTCCTACGAAGTAGGCTGAATTGGCGAGCGCGGAGTCGCGTTTTTTTCGCGATGTCGCCGCGCTGACACTATGTTTAGCGTTGGGCCTGAGTCTAGTGTAGCGTTGGCAGGCAGTAGTAGTCTATCCCGCGTCCCTTCCTCAGCCATAACCACTATGTCAGTTACGCCTGCCCACTGACCGCTGGCACAAACAGGAACTACGGCAAGAATGCTCCAATGGGCAACGGCACAGACGATGGGAAGGAACGAATGAGTTACCAATATGCAGGTAGCCGTGTTTATGCTCTTACGCATCGGGCAACCCTGCTGCACACCGACACTTATATTCGTCGTTCAGCTCTGTCTTCTGTCTTGTCCGTCAGCCTTCGCCTCTCATGCAGCTGCCAAGGCCTGTTCATTATCGTCCGCATATTGGACAGCCCGTTGAAGTCGCACAACCGACTGCAGGCGAATAGCACAGAATTGCGAAGAAGAGGACTCTCTCCTGCAGGCTTCTGAAGGCCCTGGTAAAAACTGGACGAATAATTGCTCGTAAAATGCTGAGTCATACGCCGCGGTGTGTGCTACTTCGACCGTTTGTGCAGAACAAATGCCCTGTAAAATGCAGCTAGTGGCAGTCCTCTCTTTGTCAATTCGCTTTTTTGCTTGTGGCTTTGCTGCATTTTGCCATTGTGGATCGCAGTCGGCACCAGTGATTGGCCCATTTTATCGCTATCGCGTGCCCCGCCACTCTTTCGTTCTTTCCTCCCCATTTCGTTCCCCGCTTCTTTCCCTCACTCGCCTCTTCCCTTTTTCCCTCTCTTTCTTTCTCTCTCATCCTGCTTTCTCACTCTATCATAACAAACGACCACCCCAAACATCAACTATCCCAGCACCGAACCACCGATACCAGCCAGGCCAGATCCGATCACGTCACTAGTTTGATCTATGTAGGTCTTTCGCGATGCTCTAGCTTTGGCATATCCAATAGCTTCTCTGCCGCTCGAGTTGTTTTGAGCCCCTCCGAGAAGGCTCTAGGCACTCTCAGTTTGCCAACTTCTGCCGACGCTGTTCCTTTTTTGCTAACGTGCCTTGCGTACACCAGCACCCGCGCACCTTTACAAAACCCCGTTCCCACGAGTTACGCAGAAAAAGTCGAGTTGATGTCAATCGAAAATCTCAAGATCAATGGTGCGCATTTCTTTCGGCCCTGGAATGTGGGCATCGCCAAGCGGCTTCGATGTTCCCATACAAACAGCGACGCAAAAGTTGCCATAGGAAATGTTCGCTAACAATACGGCTCCCTTCAGACCCCTTCGCCGACGCCGACGAAGATACCGGACAATCGCAGGCAAAGCAACAGGAATACCTCCATATCCGAATCCAGCGTACGTTTTTGAACCTGGCACACCAATCCCCACATTGTGCATGTGCGCATGCTACGCATACTCCTATGCCATGTCACATGGCACACGTGCCTCCCGATGTGTTCGATTCGAAACACAATGACTAACATGCTGACCGAATGACAGAGCGCAATGGACGCAAGACCTTGACCACGGTGCAGGGTATTCCTCCCAAGTTTGACCACAAGAAGATCCTCAAGGTCATCAAGAAGGAGTTCGCTTGCAATGGAACCATCATTTCCGCGGCCGAGTCCAAGGGCATGGGCGAGGTGATCCAGCTCCAGGGCGATCAGCGCAGCAAGATTCGCGACTTCCTGATTGACAAAGCTACCGGCCTTGGCCTTGACGAGAAGACCATCAAAGTCCACGGTTTCTAGACTAGCCAAGCGCCGTGTTCGTGTCTCGAGCTTATACGTGTAGGCTGTCTTGGACGTGTGTATGGATTTTGTTTGTCTTGGAGACATCTTTGGGTATCTCCATGTCAGACGACTGCCACAGCCCAAGCGCCGATTTACCGGCATTCTTTAGCTCTGCGGGGCGTATAGATATACCATGTCTTCCAGAGCGGCACCCTATCGGGTATTGCTTTGATGGCTGGCGAGACACATCGACTCGGGCGTGTGGTGGTCGAAATGGGGTCGGCGATGGAACCAGGAGAAGCGGCAGATGAATCCTGGTGCCGGCCATGGTACCACGGGTCTTCATTTTGTTCCTTTTTTCTGTTTCTGTTGTTCTTCTCGGGATGGTGCAGCATGATTCAAGTTTTGTTTAAGATACTCTCTTTGACGCTGCTGCAGTGTCATTCGTTGATGGTTCGGACCACGCTTTTTATTCCATGGCTTTGGATGCTCAATCATTTCTTTCTATGGGCGGCATATCCTTTTTGTCAAGTAGCACATAGCGGATGTTGTCACAATGGAAAACGAAACAGTGTTCAAGCACAGGAAGCGTTATAATGACAGAAAGTGAACGTGATGAATACGTGCTGCCTTATTACTAACAAACATATATGCAGGTACAGGTAGCGATACTGATGTATATGGGTCTTGCAAGCCCGCTAGGCCGTCTCCTACTTCCTCGCGATACTGGGTATATCTGGACAAACGACGACAAAGATGGGAACCTGGTCGTCTCTGAACAACACTGCTAAAGAGCTTGGTCTGTACATCGTGGATGTAGCCAGGCCATGTCTGGTCTTGTTGGTTTGGTCCAGTATCCCCGATGTCCCAAGATCTTGCTACGTTCCGGCGGCTAGATTGTAACGCCGTGCTTGACAGACAGATAGATATACGACGCAGTGTGGGAATTCCGGCAGCACGCCAGGACACACATGGCATAACACATGGCATAACACATGGCATAACACATGGCATAACACATGGCGTAGCACATGGCATTCACACCCCTCTGACTTGAAGAGTGGGCTGAGAGAAACAAACCAAGGAGATGTCCGTGAGATCAGTCATGGGACGGTGAGATACAGCCTGCAGTAGTGCTGCAGCGGCCTGGCCGGTCGAAGCCGTCTGCCGTTCTCTCCTTTTCGTCCCACCTCTCGCAGGACCGTCAATCGTGCAGGTCATGCTGCACGGGTGTTGATCTGGGCCTATTTGGACACCCGTCCCACCAACTGTGGCGACCAAGCATTTTCCTCCCTCACAGAAGGAATATGTTGATGCTTTTACCACCCCCACGGCATATGGTTTGTTATCTCCTGGGACGATTTCCTTTCCATCCTTTAAATATTCGTTTTTGCGGATTGTACCTCATTTCTTGGTCCTCCTTGCCCATCCCGCTGCATCGTTGCTTGTCTCCCCAATGTTACCCATGGTTTCTTTGTGTCACGGAAACCCGCCACGAAGATGTCTTTGGGTCGACGTGCATGATGATAGGACTTGAGATGTGGAGGAAAACCCCCGAGGGGGTCACGCCCTTCCTATTCGTGTGGATGGGAGCGGCTTTCCAATAACGTAAATGTTTATTCTAGAAGCAGAAAAGAAGGAAAACAGGAGACGATCAGCGTGGTCATCATACCCCTGACATTTTTGTGTCACGATTCTCCTCGGACACAAGGTTGAACGGAGTACTCCGTCTACAGGATCCTGCCCCCCACAGCCTTGACCCTCCCGTTACCCAGGCTGGCTATTTTTTTCAGCTTCCCGGATGTGCAATCTACCGAAAGAGGGAACCTAAATGTATTGTGGTGGACGAGTGACTGCGAGTGTGCAAAAGAAAGGCAACAAACACATGCATGCTCCGCAAAGGAGGGGAGGGGTGTGCCTATGTGTATATGGTCTATGCTCTCGACCCAAGTAAAGAGTTGCGTAAAAGAAGCGTAAAACAGAACAGTAACAGCACAAGAGAAATACTTGAGTGGAGGTGGGTCGGGCGGCAATAATATTAAGTGCTGATTATTACTTTTCTTTTTTGCAGTGTCTATTTTAGTAAATCGTCCGTGAACGGAATGGCTTTGGGGATGCTCAGACAGTGGGAGAATGGGCATGAACTGGCAAGGGAGGAAGTAGGACAAGTCAGCATTCGAACACCACATTTTTCGGAAACGTAATGTGGCGTTTCTTTATTACTTCGAGGCTCCCCTTGTTTTTATCGAGGGCAACTATTGGGGGTTGGCACGATTTCTTTTACAAAAAATCATACCGCTGCGTGTCTCTACCCGCCTTGACTTGTCGTGTGTCCAGTTTCCTTGGGTCACATCCTTCGAGACAGGCCACAGAGGTCAGGGGGCGATCTAGACGTGTGGGTATTCAGATTCAGCTGGAGAGAAAAAGAAATTAAGCGCAGATGAAGCGGAAAGAATTCACATGAGAAAAATGGACGAAAACCGTAACAAAGACAACGGACACGCGGAAGACAAAGAAGAGGTGACCAGGATCGCGATCGACGCTGTAAAGACTCGACAAGTGATCGTCCGCCCCGACGTAGAGAGGCCTTGCGGTCATCTAGACTGCGAGGCGACGAAGTAGGGCCAGGAACAGTCAGGACCAGAGACCTGGATAAGCACGTCTTTTCGACAACGCGGGCACTAGGTCGATAGTCGCATTTTCCAACGTCGTACTATCTACTGCATGTAAGACGGGCAAGCAGCGGTGCTGCGTAGAGAGAACTTTAGGTTAACATAAACGGAATACGCCGTGTAATAGTTCGCATATAAGCATCGCGAGGTACATCTGACACTTTTCTGCAAGACGCCTTGACATCCTTTCTCCAATTTTACGTTTTTGTGCTTTTCTGATGTGACAAGACCTTGCGATTCGAGGTGGACCTTGTCAGTGTATGGGCGCGGAGATTCGTTTCTTGTGCGCGCAAATGTCCACAAGAAGGCATGCGGTTCTTGGCCTTTTGTAAGTCGTGGGGATGGCACGAGACGGTCATATCACAAGGGACAGTTGTTGCTGTACATTATCAAATATGTCGTATCTCGTGATATCGCTGCGTCTTTCCCAATTTTGTTGTGCGACCCCTTCGCAGCTTCCTGTCTTCATTGCGCCTTCCACTTGATGGCTGTCGGGATGCTTCCCAATCAGGAAAGTGCATATAATATGACCTCCAACCAGCCTATAAAATCGCAGGGCTGCGACGACAAGCAAAAGCTGCAGAGGAAACGGAATGTACTCCGAAATGGCAAGAACGAAGGGAAAGCTTAAACAATTGACAATTGAAAATAATGAGATCGATAAATGATTCTCTAAAATATAGCAGCCACCCAGGCCAGCTTTGCACTTCCCTCAGGGCAACTTTGGTTGTTTATGTACGACGACCCACATGTGTTCGATGGTGTCACTGGATCCATCGATGGCGCAAGACGCAATGGAGCTCTATGATTGGCCGCCTTGACCCCAGTCATTCATGTCGATGCTCCCTCCTGGGGGGAGGCGTGCAGGATGTGATGCAGGATGCGTGGAGCGTGTGTGGGAAACGCGCCTGGTATTTTCATTTTGTTTGTTTTTATTTTATTTTATTCAGGACGTTTTCAAGTTACTTTTACAAAAGGAAACAAGGGTCGGAGATGCAGGGCAAAGACCAAATAATAGTGGCGAAGGACGATATGGGGTACACCCGTCGTTGCATCGCCATTTCTGGCATCAAATGTCCCCCCGTCAGGTCCCACCTTGAATGCGTCGAGGAGGCCGGAGCTGAGTTTGTGTCGTTCCCATAGGTCCAACCACTCTCAGGTTGCGTGTCCGTGTAAGACACGCGTGAAGGAAGAATAGAACAACTCATTGCCTAGAACTATGTGCCCTTTTAGATAATTTAGTACTCAGAAGTATCATGTAGTGCTGGTCTGAGACCGTGCCCTTGCTGCCGAAAGTCAGCGTCGGTCCGTCTGGGGGAGGAATGGGGGTCCAAGTTTCGGCAGAGATTGGGTTAGCCAAGCAATGTTTATTTGAGGTCCCACTGAGACGAACGCAACGAAAACAAGGAGCACAACGACTACGAGACCATTCCAAGGGAAAGCTTCGACGCTGCCAGAAAAGGAAACGTCCAAGATTAGATTGGCGGAGCCGAGTCTAGCCCTCCATGGTTGTTGAATCCGGCTAGACAGGCGACGCATAATACGGCAGGGGACTTGCTCAGGGCTTCGTGATAAAGGACGACTTGTTGGTACATGTGCAGCATCGAGCGTTGCGTAAACGGCGCTTGAACACTGTCGTAGTCGTATTCGTGCCAAGCGATTACTTCGGAGCTATGCACGCGTGCTTCAAGCCAAGACCAGCTGGTTGACGAAACAAGCTATTTACCAACTGGTTGTATTGATCTGGTGGATGACAGCTGGACTGATTACGTGCTGCTGCTGCTGACAAGCGAGATCTCCTCACACTGACCGCCATCCAACTCAGACCCTGGGCCAAGCTGCAGTTGGAGGCGATTTGGGGAGTGTATTGAAAGCACCTGCGCGTGGCTATCACGCGGGTGCATCGCGTGGTCGGAGCTTGCCGCAGGAAGGGTCGCCTTTGATGGTGGTTGCCAGGATTACTGTGTACTCGTAAGGAGTCTAAAGGTAAAAATGCGGAACGAGAGGAGCTAGAATATGCAAAACAAATGGAAGCTGCAAAGAAAGGAAATGGAAGAGATGCGATGTACATCTCGGGTCCAACAGTGGCTGTATTTGCTGAGAAAGAGACTGACTACGATTTACACTCCGCAAATAAGATTCGATACCAGGAAATGGAAAGAGCCGCGCAGAAGAACTGCCCCAAAGAAAAATGACATTAAAAAAAACCTTCTGCGCCGTTCACAGCAAGTAGCGTTTGACGTAGGATACATCTTCTCCCTCAATAATTGGCGCTAAAATTGCGGGTTTCGAGGTACCCCATATCCACCAGTACATGGATTTTGTCAGCCAGCCCTTGCCCCTCCA